TTCCCTACAATACAAAAGTGTAATTACTATTAACCTTTTCTTTCAAAAAGAATATACACACCAGGAAACCATAGTTTTCATATTACTTTTATCAAAAAAGTATAATAATTATGTTACATCCAATTTTGAGTGGTAAGAAGAATGAGATATAAGAAGAAAAACTAAAGAAAGTAATGAAAGAAAATGACGCGACAAGAGTAAATCAAAGAGAAAGATAAAGAAGAAAATGAGGTGAAAATTGATAACTAAAAGAAAATACATTAGTTGTTGGATGTATCTTTGTTCTTGAAGTTTTAGGTGGTGGTCCAAATCCTTGTTGTGTTGCTCGAGTTCCTCTGCTTTGCCTCTTGCACCATCCATTCTTGCTTCTTTCTCTTTAGTTTTTTCTCTCTCTTGCTCAGATTCAATGATATGAATGATCTAAACGTAATGGCGTGACTGTATATATAACTTTTGTTACATCCATATATAATCGTATTAAATATCTGTATAACAAGGACTTTAACTCCATACAGTTATATTACAACTGCATCACTCTAACTGTTATAACCGATTTCCTTCTACATATATGTAATAGTTGCAATTCACATACACTAATGTAGTAATAAGTACACACGAGGATTCCTACTTCTTTCATAATAATTTTTTTATTAAATAATAGCTAAATTAATTAAGTAGTAAGTACTATAGAGAAAATAGTACATTGACCGAGAAAATAGTACATTGACCGAGAAAATAGTGCATGATGGCAGAAGACTAGAAGAGTGTGTGAAGTAGTCTACGCTGGCTGAACAGTGTTGTGTTTTGCATTAACCAACAAAGGCATATTGGCATCCATACTGGGACACGGGTCAAATTGGTGCTTTTAAATTAGGGTCGCTGTCATGAATCATGATCACAGTCACGTTAAAATTTTCGTAATCAATGTTTTTTATTTAGTAGAGTTTATTTTAAGTAAACATTATCCATATTTTTATGCTATATTTTTTTTTTAATAAATACATGCAAGTATTCATAGATACCCTCAAATACTATAAAAAATTTGCGAATACCTAAATGGACAACGGTGCAAATATAGAGAGAAGTATGGTGTGAGTATTTATTCAATGGAGAGGGTAGTGAGACTTACCTATTGTTTAATATAAGCATATATTATGAAAGAAGTAGCAAACGAGAAATCCTCTTGCGTACTTATTACTACTACATAAGTGTATGTGAATGGCAACTATATTACAGGATGCATACGTAGAAGAAATTCGGTTATAACAGTTAGAGTGATGCAGTTTTAATATAACTGCATGGAGTTAAAGGCCTTGTTATACAAATATTTAGTACGATTAGATATGGATGTAACAAATGTTATATATACAGTAACCATGCATGCAAGTTACCATTACGTTCAGATCATTCATCATTGAATCAGAGCAAGAGAGAGAGAGAAAACTAAAGAAAAAGAAGCAAGAATGGATGATGCAAGAGGCAAAGAAAAGGAACTCGAGCAACGCAACAAGGATTTCAACCCCCACCAAAAACTTCAAGAACAAAGATACATCCAACAACATATGTATTTTCTTTTAGTTATCAATTTTCAGCACATTTTCTTCTTTATCTTTCTCTCTGATTTACTCGTCTCACGTCATTTTCTTTCTTTACTTTCTTTAGTTTTCCTTCTTATCTCAGTCTTCTTACCACTCAAAATGGGTGTAACTTGATTATTGTACGTTTTTGATAAGTGTAATGTGAAAAGTATGGTTTTATATATATATATATATATATTCTTTCTGAAAGAAAAAGTTAATAGTGATTACAATTTTG